CATTAATTTAAAATGTCCAAAAGCTACCATGGTATTTACTAAATGTATCATTGGATTCACTAGAAAATTTAATCATTTCATTATGGGTAATTTTGTCATATCATTAAATTGTTAACAAATGCTTTAATTAAATTAGATTATATTAGTTTGTTAACAGATAATATCAATAAATTATATCTGATACTAATAAAATTCAAATTAGTTTAATTTTGAAATTATTTTAAAATCTTTCATAATATCTTAACATATATATGTCATAAATAAATAATATAATTATACATATTAAATTATAATCAGTTTATTCTCTATAATATTAAAAGAAAATCACTACTTTAAAATATCTAAAAGCTACTATGATATTTACTAAATGTGACAATTATAGTCTATAATGAATATGTAATCATTATTTTCTGGTTACATATATACATACAATGAAAAAACATATTATGTAAATAATTTTTTTTCTTGGTTTGTTAATGATTTTTTTTTTTTTTGCGGGAAATCATGGGTTTGCGAATTCGACAAACAAAATTTTGTAGATTTTACTGGTTTTGCAAGTTTTAGCAGGTTTTATAAGTTTTAGCGGAAAATATATTTTTACGAGAAAATGCTAGTTTGACAAGAAATATGCTTTTGTAGATTTAGCAGAAACACATGATTTTAAAATTTTGGCCGCAAATCACGATTTTGCAGATTTAGAGGAATTACAGGAAAACACAGGTTTGCAAAATGCGAATAAGGCAATTTTGAGGATTTTATGAGTTTTACAGAATTTAGCAAAAATATGTAGTCATATGAAAAAATACGGATTTATGCGTTTGGAAACTCAATTTTGCAGGTTTGGCAGAAACATATGAGTTTAGAAATTTGGTTGTAAAATACGATTTTATGGATTTTATAATTTTACGAAAAAACACGGGTTTGTGGATTTGACGGAAAACGTGATTTTGCGAGGTTTATATGTTTTAACGGGTTTTATTGCTTTTGATATAAAAATATGGTTTTATAGATTTTATTGAAAATACAGGTTTGCGGGTTTGACGAGAAATACAATTTTGCAGGTTTAACAAAAAGACATAATTTTAGAAATTTGTTTATAGAATACGGTTTTATGGTGTTACTGGGAAACATAATTTTTGTTTTTGTTAAAAAATATGGGTTTACAGTTTTGGCAGGAGAATACTACTATTTTTACAGTTTCTACGGGAATTTCTGATTTTGGTACAACAACGTGATTTTACGATTTTGCGAAAAAATGAGGCTTTTTATTTTAATAGAAAACTCTGATTTTGCTCTTTTGACAAAACAAAACTTGATTTTGTGTTTTAAATTAAAGGGTGTTTTGGTCTTTTAATTTTGGAGATTCAAATGCTGCATCCAAACTCTATTTTTTAGTATCTTAAATATACAAATTTTGAGATATTATAGATTTTGTATCGAGATACAACATCCATATACTGATTGAAAAATATTTTTATAGAGTTAAATATTTGAGTATTTGCATCCAAATAATTATCAGGATGCAAAAACAAACAAAGTCTAAGTAAATATTGAAATCTTAATTACAAACGAATGAAATCTCTTGCATTATAAAACATAATATTTTAAAATATTTGTTACAAAACTTAACAGAAAATCCGCTAATCAATTTTTTTTTGTAAAATCAAGCTTAAATAATTTTAAGAACATAAAATCAAAAATGTGAAAGTAGTTTATATAATCTAATAAAAAAGTCAGTTTAGGCCATAATTTTAGATTTAATAATATAAGCTGATTTTTTTTGAACAAAAGTTTATTATAAACCGATTTTTACTATAGTTCAAAAATACTTTATAAAAAGAAACCCACGCAAGTGCGCGGATCCAAAATCTAGTTTAAAATTAAATTGACAGGTAAGTCCCTGCATCTTGCGAGTCAGTCTTTAATTTAGATTAATATGACAAAAAATGCAAAATCGTTAAAAGAGATGGAATTCTTTAGTATGTGGGCAAAAAGTAAAAATTAAATTGGTGAAATTTTCGTCTAGGTTGGCTTAACGATAACTAATAAATTTTCCTTGGACGACATAAACCTATCACACACACTGACAACCCAAAATTAGATACCCAAAATTAGATATTTATTGAAGATAAATTTGTTAAGTTTTCTTCGTGTATTTTTTTAATCTTTTTGAATTTTTGACTCATTACCATAACATCTATTAACATATGTGGGAATTGTTTAACTATTTTATACTAGATTTTAATTTTTCCGTTGCACAGACTCATTTGCTAATTTAATTTAATATCTAGTTTTATAAATTTATATATTTATTCTATATTATATTTGTCTTTTCTTTTTTAAATGTTTTTAGTTGTTTTTTCCTCTAGAATGTATATATCAATATTGTAATTTTTTTTTCTATTATTGATTATGATGTATTAATTGTTAAAAGATTATTTCGTATATTTATACGCTGCAAATAAATATTATATATGTCCTAGCTGTTGATATGTATTTAATTGGTTTCTTCTTTTTTTCTATAGCTTATATTTGTAGATGAACAAAGTGAAATCACCATTGATCCCTCTCCACTCTAAACTAAATGTTCCTTTAATTATTTTTACTATTTTCAAAATATTTAACTCTTTTTTAAGCATAAATAGCTAAACAATTTTTTTCCTCTTTTCTATTGTTCATAGTCCTACTATTCTAATTATAATTACTGATATTTTTCTCTTATTTCATATAAGCTTCCGTCTCATTCAGTTATGTGATTATTTGTAAATCTAAATGAGAGAAATTGTAGTTAGAGTTGGTGAAACAGAGCAAAAGATATGTTCATATGTTATATATGTTTGATGGGGATTTATATCAAAAATTGTGCTTATATGATAAACTATTGATTTGAATGTTTCCCTTCTTTCGAGAAGCAATTCCGATGTGTTCATCCATCTGACTATGATGACTACCTGACTATATTTACGAATGTGTGTGTTGATATTTTTTTCTACATTCATGTCATGTGGAGGTAAACAAAATGAGTATAATCATTAATCTTGTTTTAGTTTATCTATACAATTTATATTAAAACTCATATATTATCTTGCTAATGAGTAAAGTCACCAAATATCAATTTTATATTGCCATCATTGACAAAAAAAATGGTTGATAATTTTTTTCCATATTTTTATCTCCTTTGCGTAAATCATGTTTATTTCTATATTATATCATTAAACACTTTAGTTTTCTTTATTCATGAGAAAATTTTCATTTTTTTATATAGTATAGTAGATATGAATGGTTTTACTTTAGTTTTATGCATTAATCTTTCTGAAGTTTTTTTTAAAGGTTTGATAAGTCTTCTTGGCAAGTTCTTCCATCATTTTTTGTAAATTTTCACCTTCCAACTCCTTTTCACATTCTCTTTGTTTATATTTGAAAAAATATTTTGATTTTTTTTTCGTAGAGAACATGTAATTTTATGGTTTGTAAAATAAACATATGTTTTATATAAATAATTTTCCTTTAGCTTTATACACAAATCTTTCTAAGGATTTTTGTTTTGTTGATAACTATTACCTGTACGTTTTTCTGTCATCTTTTGTATTTGTTTGCTTTCCAAACATTTTTTCATAATCTGTAAATTTAATGGTTTATAAAATAAGTATTTCCTTTTAATTTTAATTTAATATTATATGAAGGCCCACAAATGTATATATAATATATAAAAAACCTAGAAAAGAAAAACTAAAATATTTAAAAGCCCATTTTGAAAATAAAAAATTGCTGAAGTGGACACTCTAGATGGAGAGAAAACTGATAATTTATATATATATGATTCATTTAAGGTCTTTTAGAATAAGAAAATACTGATTATACAATAGTTTCAATTGAGATTTTGAAAATACTGATTATACAAGAATTGTTGAACCATTTATAAAAAAAAAATTGTTGAAATTTTTTGAAAGCGGTTGAATTTGAATTGCTTTTTATCTTTATGTTTGTACTGTTACAGCTATCTGGTCTATATATTGTTGTTAGTTCTGAAAAATTATATCTATATCTGGTTAAACAAAAAATATTCAATACGTTCTAATGAAAATTTTGGAATTTGATTTTAAAAACCCGCATACGTTGAACTTCATAGTGTTTATGATAAAGAAGCGTGTTGTTGTACATTAGTTACAGGACACTGAAGTTTCAGTTTTGGGATTCATAAATGATAATTTCTGTCATTATTAATTAATAAAAGTAAGATATTCTTGTACTAATTTTAAACATACTGGTTAATATATTCTTTACTAGAGATGGACACATACTAGAGATGGACACTCTAAATGGAGATGAATTATATATGATTCGTTTAATGTCTTTTAAAATACGAAAATACTGATTATACAGTAGTTTCAATCGTCATTTTGGATATCAACTATTTGAACTAGTGATATCAGTTAAAAAAACTCCCGCATTTTTAATAAATTTTAGTTTTCAAAATACTACATAACGGTCTAAATTTGAAACCATACAAAATCAAATAAACTGTCTTCATCCCAAACATCTATCATTCTTGATTTTCAATCTGAAGTCCTACTCAATTCAAAAAAAGAAAAAAGAATAAATGACATCATGTTCATATCTCAAGAAAAGAGGAGACACGAAGGAGAACATAAGGAGACCATAATCCTCCTCCTTCGATTTAAGACTAATGCAACTAAACTGTTGAAGTAGAATGGTTGACTTTCTTCGTTTTCGTATACATTATTAATCTATACGTATAAAAAAATTGGTGAAGAGAAGTACTTACATTTCATACCTTGGCAAATATTATCTTAACTGAAGACGAATTAGGTAAAACAATAACAACTAAGATATTTGCTTACACCGTCACAACGTCATAGACGTTACATTCGTCACCCACAACGTAGACCTACCTCATTGGCATCGACACAAAGACCCATAGACGTTACGCATTCAGATATCTGATGCTTACAAGTGTTTTCGATCACAAGAAAGACAAATACGAAAATCAAAACAATCCAATTATGAATCAGCTTTAACGTTTCTTGAGAAACACTTTCGAATTAAAACCATTGAAAATCTTCTGTGAATAGTCTTTTCAGATACAAAGATCACACTGTCGCTACAAGAACAAAAGAAAAAAAGGTAAAAAAAAAACACACGTGTGTAGTAGTGACAGTCAAAAGGCCGTTTGAGTAAGTGGTTTCAACGGAAGTAACCGTAGAGTTCCAAGTAGCAAATGCAAAAGTTCCAAGGAGTTGATGTGTCTGTGGTTGGACCGGTCAGAACCAGCCTGAAAAACCTAAAGGGAAGCAATGCATTTGCTGCTGTGATTGGCCACGATGCGAATTGACCGGCCTTGCACATTGTTTGGTCATTCTCATGAACTCTCAAGTCCGTCCATGTTTTCCCATCCATTGATCCCTTCAAACCCATCAAGACAACAACAATAAGACAAAAACTTTCTAAAGCAGCTTGTCTTAATAAGACACCAATTCTAGGAAAAATGATCAGATAAAGATACCTGAAACTTCCAGGATCTTGCGTATGCTCTTGAGCCGTCTTGTCTAAAAGTGTAGTAGTTGCACATAAGCTGCATATACCAATCTTCACCGGGTTAGTTCTTTCTCAGATATTCACTAACTACTAATTCTTTAGCTTATTTCTGCGAGCATGGGTGGTTATGAAGCTTTAAGACCATTTGTGTCTATATGAATTACAGAGTATGTGATAGGAAGAGAAATTATGGAGGAGACCTGATGATCTTCGCCTAAGTCTACCATCCACCAGGAAGATATATGGTCATCTTCCATCCTAGGCCCTGCAAAGGAAGTACCCTGGTGCACAAAAAAGTCGAAATCATGTGTATCCAAGAGGAGAAAAGTTTCATTGCAGTTAATTTTATGCTTCGTCTCAAAAATCGGCAAGTAAAAAAAAGACCATATGGTTGAATTTGGCATCCAAAAGGGGAAGAGATTATATGCTCTGTTTTAAGATGCTGAACAAAATATTTCGGGAAGTTGTAATTATGTAACTTAACTTAGTTACTTCAAGAGAACAAATTTAATGATTTCCTATACTTGTATAGCACATGCAAGGAAGTTCTTAGTACAGCTAAACTTTTAGTTCTAGAAATAAATGGAAATTGAAAAGAATGAGATAATTTTATAGTTCAAGCCAAATTCAAATCATATATGAAGAATGAACTACAGTGGATCATACCACGTAGGCTTTTGAAGCTAAAGCCTTCGGATCAGTGAACCTGGAAGTGGGGCTGCTGGATGTAATGGTGATTTTCTGGAAACATAGAGGATTCAAAGCATAAGGAACTATTGCTCCAGTAGAATCCGGGTTTTATAAGACGAGTTCAACACCATGAAGAAAGAAAGTAAGATAAAAAACGAGTTTAACCTTTGCGAGAACGGGGTTGACCCATTGATGACTCCCATAAGATGTACCAACAAAGTGCAGCACCCCATTGCTATCCCCATCACGTATGTATTGAAGTTCCTTGAAACTCGATCTCCGGTGTTGGAACCTTAAACAAGAGGTGAAAACTTCAATAACTGACTATATCTGGAAATTTAAAGCTGGAGTTGTTTTACAATCATATGACACATGACTTTGTAATTCTTACATCGGTTCATTTCCTGGGCATGTCATTCTGGAAGCCAGAAAGCTAGTAGCCTCCTTCACCTGTACGCGAGAAAATATAAGAGAGGGCTTGGAGTGAAGAGAAGTCTTGAATTGACATAAATGTTACAAACTTACAAGCCGATTAAATACTGGGATTTGTCTGCTAAGGTTGCTGTTTTCTAACTGCAAGATCATTAAGCATAGATGGCATCAGCGTAATCAGGAATTAACATAAAATGATAAAGTTCATCTACCATAAGCAGGGTCAGGATCTGCCTTACCCTCTCAAGTAACTCATATGGCAACAGAGAGAAGCGGACATGAGGCAACAGGTCATCAAGTGACTGAAGCCTTTCTTTGAACAAAATTTCTGGACTAGAGTAGTTCATTAGCTCATCTACAATTTCCCAACCGTGCGACTCTTCAGCTTTCATGCACCACATGAGAACGGCATCAAGAATCTTTTCCTCAGATGTCACTGTCAGATCTGCAGACTGTAAATCCAGTATTCAATACTGGCTGCAATGGTTTTCAGATCAGAAAAAGAAGCAAGAGAAAACCTACCTCAAGAATATCACTGAAAGCAGTCTGATCTAACAGGACAAAGTCCAAACTTGCAGTGGTACAATAGTCAAAGTGCATGGAGAACTTCCTCTTGCACATCTCCTCAATGACTTTACATGACGAGATAGATGAAACCACTTGGAGAACTGAGCATACAGAATCCTGCAACAAAGTTCAGAGGTTAGCTTTAGAAACGGCCCTACTAATTTTTCCAAATTTGTCTGCTTCCACGCCCAATAAACTCGCATAAAAGAATTATTCTTGTTGTGTGACCTTCCAAAACGAGAACGCCGTCCCTGCATGTAATATATACATGGAACAATATTAATATTTCTTGACTTTGTATGTTGTAAAAGCATTCGCTTCGTTTCTTTTTCTCTTTATTTTTTCAGAGGGCTGAAACCGCAGCTCACTTCATGGCTCGTTAAGCTCTCTATCATACAGAAACCATATTGTAACAGATGCACTGGAAAAGAAGAGAAACATGATAACGACAGAGAGAAATATTATATACTACAGAGGGTTGTGAAGACGATTTTACCTCTGAGAGACACTCCAGGAGCATTTTGCAGCATTCTTGATGAAGCGGAACAACTCCAAACCGGTCAGCTAGAAAGAGTAGATGGATCAGATCGGTACCAAAATTCACAGTGTCTTCCATGTTCAACTCTCCGCTATACATGAAACTAATCATAGCCTTGAATGCTTCTGGTGATACATCGGTTAAGTAAATCGTTGACGAATGGCTTTCGCTCATCCCATTTGTAAACATCTGGATGTTCATTGAGAATAAATGAAACTTAAGAATCGAAAATTTTCATGCACATCACTACTTCAACCACAAAAAGAGAATTTCTCACCTTTGCAAATGCGACACTCCAAAGACTTAGAATGACTTTGTGAGATTGAAAAGTGAGACCATGGTCACTGAGACATATTTTTACGTCACTGTACTCGCCCGTTGAGTACAACATTTTCAGCTTACCCACATCAGCAGGAAAAGCAGTTGGGAACATAAAACCAGATAAGGGGTGAGAAACAGGACACGAGAGTTTGACTTTCTTGCAGGGATCAGATGCTCCGTTGCTTAGTTCCAAGCGGTCTATGTTTTCGTCACACTGTCTCACCAATGTCATCACTTCAAAATTAGAACTTAAATCCCGCAATGGAGCAAGTTCTGATTCCAAAATCTACATCACAAACAAAAAGTTCAGGAAAAGCAAGAGGAAGATGAAGAATCTCCAAGCTTAATAAACAAAAAAAAATGTTACTAACAACGCATTTACCTGAGTTCGACCCGTATAGATATATTGGAGAAGCGCATGAAGAATCGGGTACGATACTCCACGAAGTTGAATCACATCTCCTTCTGAAGAGCTCAAAGGAAAACTACCCGATGCTTGTAAGATACACTTGTGAGCAGGAACATCCATTTCCTCTTTACCAACAAGAAAGATCGTGTCAGATAATTCCCAACTCTCCAGAAAATTACTGAGCCCCCATTGTTCATAACCATTCCCCATCCCTTCCTCCACGAACTTCTCATCACCAGGCTCACCTCCTTTAACTTCACGGCAATCCACTTGATTCCACAGCAAGATATGATTGTGTGTCACAGGAAACACACTCACGTTTCTATATCCAACATGTTTATCCCAGCTGCTCAGACCAACATACTGAACATTACAATTGGGCTTGGGGTCTTGCCACTGAAACACCAGGTTCTGAAACGGATACCGACCTTTCCCGATGCTAATCAACCCATCATAGATACTGATCCAGTAGCTCTCGAACTCCAAAGAGCAACGACAGAGACCAGAAGACTCCTCATCGACAACAGATCTCCCATCGACCTGAATCTTCAGCCTACGGTTCCTATTGCTACCAATGATGACAATGTAATGAGGACTATTGTCTTTCTTATAGTGGTAATGCTGACTCCCAACATTCTCCCTGAACACAACCGTGACATCGTTGTGAGCAAACGCATCAAACGCAACGCAGCCTCTTCCCGCTTCCCGGAACTTGAGGTCATCACTCCAAGCACACTCGAAAGGTGCAACCGTCAGGAACTTCTTCTCTTTCGCCGCAGCAACCATGTCTTTCTTCACAAAACCTCTTGTGTGTACCTAAATGATATTTCCAAACCCAGAAGCCATCAACCTCTATACATATATAACCGAAACCAGGGGACTAAAAAGCCAAAAACAAAAATCAAGGAGAAAAAATAGAAACCACTCATTCAGGCATTTCCACAAACACATAGATCACAATCGAACCACACTCACTTGCGAAAAAAACCCAGATCACAAAATGAGATTTTTCTCTTAACTAAGTTTTAGTAGCATCAGAGAAACTGGTTTTTTTTTTTAAGAAAGAAACGTCATTTTCAAAGATAAAACCCAGAATCTGCTAGAAAAACCAACAACTTGGCAGAAAATATCTGAATACAACTGGTACGTGCCCCACCATGAGCTTCCGCCGTCAAATCTCCACCACAAGGTGAGTTATAAAACACGAGAAAAACGACGGTGGAAAATATCAATCAGATGCAGATTGCATCAACTTTAAATCGCAAACAGCCAACGATTTGAAGATATATAATTACCTTAAATGATCAAATTCAAATCCTTTGGAGGTGCTTATGAAGTTGCGTGACTCATGATCGTGTAAGAGATCTAATCCTTTTAAGATATAAAAAGAAAGAGCCAAACAAAATTGGGAAACTAAAGACTCGAAAACGACGAAGAAGAACACATGATTGATGAGATATTTTTTTTTTTTTTTTTGCCAGCGGAAAAAAAGTTTGGTTGGATTCATTGTCACTTGTTGAGATATGGGCCAGAAAAAGGCCCCATTTTTACTCGAAAGCAGAGTTTTTGTTTCAATTGGGCTTAAAGTCTCGCCATTGAAACAGTTACAGTCGAAATCAGAAGCTTCTTCCTCGTCGAGAACGAGAGCGCGTTGTGTCTTGACCGGGAAATGTCAAGCAGAGAGAACCCTAGCGGAATCTGCAAAGACATTCCGAATCTCATATCTTCCTTCGTCGACACCTTCGTTGACTACTCCTTCTGCGGCATCTTCTTGCCAAAAGATCATAGCCCAGAGAATGAGATTCCGCAAACGAGGCTGGAGAAGCCGGAGCGTCTGGTTGCAATCGGCGATCTCCATGGGGATCTGGAGAAGTCGAGGGAAGCATTCATGATCGCCGGATTGATTGATTCGTCGGATAAGTGGACGGGTGGATCCACGGTGGTTGTTCAGGTCGGAGACGTGTTGGATCGAGGCGGAGAGGAGCTAAAGATTCTATATTTCCTGGAGAAGCTGAAGCGAGAGGCGGAGAGATCAGGAGGTAAGGTAGTGACTATGAACGGGAACCATGAGATCATGAACGTGGAAGGTGACTTTAGGTATGTGACCAAGAAAGGTTTAGAGGAATTCAAGGCTTGGTTAGATTGGTATTGCTTAGGGAACAAGATGAAGAGCTTGTGCAGAGGTCTTGAGAAACCCGATGATCCATACCAAGGGATTCCGATGAGCTTCCCTCGAGCTAGAGCAGACTGCTTTGAAGGACTCAGGGCTAGGATCGCTGCACTGAGACCTCAAGGTCCGATCGCAAAGAGGTTCCTGTCTAGGAACCAGACTGTTGCTGTTGTTGGTGATTCGGTGTTTGTTCACGGAGGTCTTTTGGCCGAGCACATAGAGTATGGACTGGAGAAGATCAACGAGGAGGTTACGGGTTGGATCAACGGGTCGAGAGGAGGAGCAAAGTATGCGCCTGGGTACTGTAGAGGAGGCAACTCTGTGGTTTGGTTGAGGAAATTCTCAGATGAGATGGCTCACAGATGTGATTGTTCAGCTCTTGAGCATGCTCTTTCCACCATCCCTGGTGTTAAGAGGATGATCATGGGACACACGATCCAGGATGCTGGCATCAACGGTGTTTGTGGTAATAAAGCCATTAGGATCGATGTTGGCATGTCCAAGGGATGTTCCGATGGAACCCCTGCGGTTTTGGAGATCTGCAAGGACTCTGGTCTGCGTATAGTCACGTCGAATCCGAATTCTCTTTTAGCTCCCGACACTAGAACGGGTCTCGGGTTGCTTGTACCACCTGAACATGTTCCCCAGCAAGTTGAAGTCGAAGCTTAAAAGACATTGAGATGATTCTTTGTATGAACATCAACAGATAGCATTTGATTGTGGTTTGAGATGATTCTTTGTAATGAACATCAGCAGATAGCATTGATTGTGGTTTCAGTTATCAGAAAGGTAGGCAATGTTTGTAAGCAATACAGTGAAATTATATGTTCAAACAAATATTATATCAGATTGGTTGTTTTAATACGTTGTGAGCAGAAATTTGGATTTCCTAAACATACCATGGATTTGAGTTAACTTTAGCACCATAATGCAAAATCACAACACTCCAAATTCTAACGACACCAACCATATTATAAAAACCGAAACTTCAGAAGAAAGATACATAGGTAGAAGAAAACTTGGAATCATTAAGAGCACTAAGCTTGAGGGAAACAATTAAGAAAAAGAGTCTTGACAAATCCTACATTTATCCCCTTTTAAACCAAATTTAACAATTGCTGCAAACACTCTCGCAAGCAAACCCACCCCAACAAGAGCACTGCTCAGATCAAGTCAAGGTCGAATCATTTCATCGAGCACAAAAGAGAACATCCATGACATGTTTTTTTTTCGCTGGACCAGGCAAGATCAATGGAGAGTTAAGTTGTTACGGTTTGAGATGGCAGTTTCGGGTGGTTATGCTCTGCTTCATAAGTAACAATAAGCATTGCTGGATCTTCCAGACATCTCTCAACGTGTTTCCTCGCTGGACAACCTCTCATGCTACTGCATTTGTAATATCCCCTGCACACAACAAATTTTAACATCAACACTTCTTAACAAAAGAAAGACTCATACTTTATATACATCACAATTCTGTCTCTATGAATCTCATCTCATCAGAACTCAAATGCCCTGTCAAAGTTTTGTTTTTTTCTACTGTCCACTATGAGTTCTCAATCAAAAAGTGTATTACCTGGGATAAGGAGAGCCCTTGATGGGTTTCTGACCATATTTTCTCCATGAATAATCATCAGGAGGGATATCTGCCACTTTGTTACTTATAGCTGGCACTCTGATCGATCTCCTAACCCGATGTTTCCTGTCAAATTTTTCCAACCAGGTTTTAATTACACCATCGCCATCAAGAGAGGGAGTGACATGAATTTAAAGGACAAAACATGCAACTGACCTCTTCTTAGAGCAGTGGCATCGGCTAGAGCTACCGCATTTGATGCTTCCATGTTCGTCTCCTTTCATCAGGCACTTTCTCTTAGAGTGTTGTGAGTTCTGATCCGTTGAACTCGGAACTCCTACCAAATGGAAGGAGCTTTTTCCTTCAGCGACGCTCCCATCTATGCTAAGTGAAGACACAAAGGACCTAGTTGATGACATTGTTGGTGTACAACTCGAGTTATCAAAGCTCAGACTTATCCCTCCGTTGCACTTCCTAAGCAAAAACTCAGCTTGATGCTTCTGTTGCTGCTGCTGCTGATGATGATGGTGAGCCTGTAACCTTTCATGTAACTGCTGCTGCTGCTGCTGCTGTTGCTGTAGTTCTGGAAAGAGATTAGGATAATTCGAAGGAGGCAGAGCCTGAAGGTGAGGGGCTTTTGCATTTGTGTTTGTGTTTAAACTGAAAGACCTGGTCCCTAGAGTGAGGGAATCACTGGGCCTCAAGCTCAAATCATGGAAACCAGACCGGAGAACCGGTGGTTTCTGAGGTGGTGGAAGCTCTGTTCTTTGGTGACAAGGATCAAGGAAGAGGCTTTGAGACAAATGGGTCTGAAGTTTCTTGGCTCTTCTGAACCTGGCATGACCCACACTCTTGCTTAGCAGAGTCGACACTCTCTTGAACCTAAACACAGCTTCTCTAGTTTCAGACACCAAACTCCTGTCGTAACCATGGTCTTCTTGTTGCTGCTGTGGTCTACATAAGAGGTTAAGAACTCTATGACAACTCTCTACAGCTGCTCTGTTGGTTCCTTCTATCTCCTCCATCTCTTAAAACAACCCTAAATAGACTAAATAAGAACCCTAATTTATTCCCCTCAAAAAACAAAAAAAAATTCAGCCACAAGAGTCTAAGAACAAACCCACTAATCTATCCTGGAAACAAAAATGGGAAAGACCCAAATGGTCAAATTTCCATTTTTACACAATCCCATCTCCACATGACCCCAGAAAGGGAAGTACACCTTTCTTAAGCTAGAAAACGAAAAAAATAGCTTCCTAATTTCTCATCAGAAGATCAAGATTAAAAAAAGGGTATAACACTACAGCAAAGAGAAATCAAACTTGATAGACCAAAACGAGAAAGAGAAAAGGAGGAATTGAGAGAGAGAGAGAGAGAGAGAGAGAGAATGATGAGGAAGCAAAAGCAAAACGGACCTTCCTTGGATGCTTGCAGCTTAAAAGAAGCTGTTAATGAGTTGTCAAACCCAAGATTCCTCCACCATCTTTAAAGAGAGGTTCGAGAAAACGAAAGGTGTGAAAGAGAAGACTTTCTTGACACACTCTCTCTCTCTCTATAGTTCGCTTCTGCAATCACTCAACCAAAAGAAAACAAAAATTGAAAGCATCCCTCCGGTTTTTTCTTTATTGTGATTTTACCCCAAACACACAGTGAGCAAATCATTTTTAAAGGAAGAAAAAAAGACAACTTTATTTGGGAAAAGCAAAGAGAAAACAAAAAAAAAAAAAAAAAAAAAAAAAGGAGAAGAACGAAACCGGCGTCTGTCACAGGTTTCAGAGGTGGGTCCCATTCGAAGACCTTAATTTAGGTAGTAAAGACTTAATTAATTAACGAACTAATGCAGAGAAGCAATTAGGCTTCTCTATAATCAAAATTTCTGACAGGAACTGAAGTATATTAAATCAAACTCAGCTTCATAATATCTATGAGCTAATCATGTCATCGTTATCTACGAAGTAAAATAAAAAGGCAGATCGTTTAATTCCAAATTCTCGAGTTTACTTTCGTGTATGTAAAAAAGGAAAAGTGGAACCTTTTTTCGTAGTTTCTAACGGTTACTTCTACCACGTAAACGTGTCTTTCTCTTCGACGGAATTTTAGTAGAAATCAATCATGTGTTTAGCCAACAAAGTGTTTGCTAAATGACAACTTATAACATAGGTAAATGGTTTTTGCGTATATTAGATAGACCTTTCCCGATACATGCATCTAACAATTTTAGTATCTAAAATTATTAATATATGTAAAACTGAATTTGCATTTTTCTTAAAAGATAATTAGAGAACATTTATGCAACTTTTTACTACAAAAATAATAAAAAAACCTCTTCAATAAATCCTTCAAGATTTATGTTTGTTGACTTCACAATAAATTAAATTCCCAAAGTCATTCAGTGCACAAGGATTCCGTGTACTTCTCGTTTAGTCCAAACAAGGAAACAAATGTTTTTATGGAAATGACAACATTATCTTATCATACATATTCATATGTCCAAAAAGGACACAGTCTCCTAAAAAGGCAATTTTAAATCTTCTTAGACAACAAAGTCTGTCTCACCAATCATTCATGAAAAAAAAAAGAGAAAACTTATACTTATTTGTTACTAAACTACAACAACACATTTCGACTGTTCCTGCACTTCACTTCTTCTCGGTTTATGAAAGATTCAATGAAGAAGAAGAATATATTTTTGTTTATTCTGCAGAAGAGTCTGTAAACAGTTCTTCAGTTGTTTTCTTCAGGGAGCTTCCGAGCATAAACTAGCACCATTACAAATTCCTTTGCAGAGGAACCAATAGATGCAGCGACTCTCTCATGCTTTGAAGTTGTCTGCAACCACAGCTCCACTAAGCTGTGAAGCTGCAACGTTGGGATCACTGGTTCTCCCATACATCTTATCTCTACCTGTTTAAGATAATCAAATAATAAACGAGTGAATTTTTTTATCCACTGGATCCCCAGTTTCCGGTTAAGGTTCAATACGGAGCATTTTCATGGTTCAACGAATCAACCCGATAGTCACAAAAAGTCCAGATCATCACAGATCACTCTCGAATCGCGATACACAAGTTGGAAACAAAAGAGAGAGTTGATTTTAGTTCAAACATCTATGGATCTTAAATTTACAAACCGGTGAGACCCATTAGCCATTAATCTCAAAGGATTTTTCTCTATCATCTGATGTGAGTTATAAAAGTTTCAAGGTAATACTAACAGTTACTGACCTCAAGTACAGGAACTGACTAGTGGATACAAGCTAGAAACAGAAAAGTAGCAACTGCATAGAAAAGGTTGTTTACCTCAGTTTCACTCTTGAGGTCAAGCTTCCTCATGAGGTACTTTTGAATAAAAGAAACTGGAATATTTCCATCCCTATCAAATCCCAAATCCAGAAGATTAGGAGTGAAATATACCACATAAATTTAAAAAATGACATGGAAACTCTGCGTAAAACAACTGAGAAATCGAATTTGAAACCATAAATGCAAAAAAGTAATATTTTGGCATATGAAACCTCAGTTAAAAGGACATAAGCCTTCAAAAACTTACTTTATTCTCAAGTAGTTCGCCGGAATCTGAGGCAAGGATGTTTCTCCTTCCCTGAAACCAGCAAGTCTTGTCAAGATACCATGGCATAGAAAATGAAATGACGAATATAATCTTGAACATCAGTAAAAAAACTCAGACACAGAGCAAGAATCTCACTGATTATTTGACGCCACAAGTGAGAACCAAACTGGACCATTTCTCCTCTCCAATGTCAGGCTTGCTGCATCTGATAGTGATGAAATTCTTGAATCACCAAAACTCGATGACCTTTTACGGCGAGTCCTACGCGTTCTTTTAACCGTAGCGGTTTCTGATGTTGTAGGATCACAGTTTTTGCTGATCTCTTCCTCGAGTTTACATTTTCTTTTATGATCCTTTGTTTTGGTTTTACTCCCCGGAACATCACTGTGAGATGCATTTCCATGCTCAGATTTTGGGTCCATCCCTTGAGAACTAGAAGACTTTAAGGGCTTTGTTCCGTTTGCCACATCCACAAGAAAGTTTAAAGGTTTCCAATGATGTAATTTGGAATCCCAAGGTTCACTAACATCCTTGCTTCTTCGACTAGAGAGGGACTGATTAGGCTCTGCAAATGAAGACTGCAAAAGAGAAGAAATTAATAAATAATAAATGTATGGGGAACTATCTGAAGATCATAAGGTTGTGTTTGAACTCGGCGTCCAAAATCGACCATGGTCCAAGCTATTATAATTTTAAAATATTACACAAATATGATTATATTTACTCTTCAAAAAGATGACTGAAGCTGAAAATGCACAACCTAATTTCCATAATGTACCAAAATAAAAGAAACACAAAGCTAAAGAGGGGAAACCACCTTCTTTACCTGCCTTTTATTCTGAGTAAATTTTTGAAGTGTTTCAGGCGAGCTTGCGCTCTCTGTATGATCATCTCCGAATTCTTCTTCCTTCTTCACAGTTCTCTTAGTGAATGTACCACTACCTCGTACATCTTTTCTCATGACAGATTTTGTTCTTTTTCCTGTTGTACCAGTTTGTCCTGAAACTCTAGGTGTGCTTACCACCAAAGACGAGATAGACCTCTCTTTCCTCCTTGCAGGTAATGTGATTGAGGACACAACTTCAGGCGCCCTCTCTCTTTTTCGTTTTAGAGGAAATATTTTGGCTCTCAAGTCTTGCAAAATGTGGTCAGGCCTAAGATACATGCAAAAGAGTTGTTCCTTAGCGAATGCATAAAAGTTCACCAACAACAAAGCTCTTACTGTTATCTCACTGGTAAGAGAGAGAGAGAGAGAGAGATAGTACTAGAGAAAACTAATTCTGGTTCTAGCCAAAATTAGTTGATGTCAGCGAAAACTAATCACAACATTCAGGTAAGTTCTTCTGAATCAAATAATTATTCTTGATTAATTCAACATTATGCCACAAAAATCATAGAAAAATCTTCCGTACGTGGCATATTCCAGCATAATCGTGTACGACTTTTCAGCATTATGTTTAAGTTATTTGTTTCATAAACAGTAAGAGCCAAAAGACTTCGAACAGTCCACAGTTCAAATATAATACAGAAAGACGGAATCACTGCTAAACCAAGCCTCATGAGAAATTTGTCAACAGAAATAAAAATAAGAGGAGAAGAAGAACCTACCTTAGTTTCTCCAGTGGGGTACCTCCGAGGTCAATATCGCATACTGGACAGCACTCTATCTCATCCTCTGTGATTTTCTCATATATGCATTTTCTACAAACTGCGTAAAAGTGGTCTAATAAGTTATCTGTATTTAAATAGATAGTAACTATCAAGTAAGAACAAGATGTTTTATATCAAATGCGACCAAATTACTCAAAAGATAAAACAAACAATTTCACAAATCAAAAGTTCAACTAAAAAACTGAATAGCATAGATTTTCCGACTCTTTCCACAACACCCACTAAAGCAAGGCTGACAATTGGGATGGCTTCTACTGCAATGATACCAGTTGTCATTGCAAGAGCTTGTAGACATCATCTACTTTGCTTTAAATCAATCTCACAGATAGTTAACAACCTAGGAAACGAGATGGAATCATACCAAAACGCAACCGCAAAATTGATGATAATACTGCATGTGTCCCCAGAAACCAAACCGCAAATCAAACGTGAACACCTAATTTTGTGCAGGGAGTTTCTGAGGATTCTACAATTGAGAAAAGGCTGCTAAATTCACAGAAAACTCCCATGTTAAAAGGGAAATTGCTCAGGTTTGCAATGAATTCGTAACTGCTAACATTTAATTTTCTTGGATTAGATGGAATGAAGCATACCAATCAGATTTACTTGACAAGTGTAATCTAGTTAACCTCCACAATTAACAGAGTGAAGAATGCGTATATTTATTTGACCGCGGTAAACAGGGTAAACTTCTCGGTAAAGGGAAACAGAGAGCTGATTGTGCATTGACGTAAATCAAAAATTTGAACAAAATACACAGAATGCAGTAACTAGTTCGGCACGCAGAAAGATCACTAATACCAGCGTGAGATCGTATCTTGAAGAAGAGTGGCTGATAAGAGCAGATTATAGCACTGAATACTAGTACTGGTCCCTTGTTACTTGAACTTCCCAACACAAAACTTGCATGATGGATATAACAACAAAGCAGATGAACCTAACCAACAACATGCAGCTACATGACATGACTTAGGCCAAAACAAAATTCCATAAGAGCCTAATTTCGAAGGACCGCATGCGTTGACCACATGCCATATCGTTGACGAAGAAAACAATCGCAAATATGAGAATTCTCGCAAGCTATATGTAAACAAAATTTGCCAGTTTTTGGTCAACAAACAACTCTTGTTGAGAAAACCAGAAAACGAACGATTCATTGACCCCGAATAATCATTTCATCAAATCGATTGAGAGATGGTGGGGAAAGGAAACATCAGTGGAAGACGAGATTCACAACTATAATCATACAGGTTTTCAATGTATAAGAGCAAACGAAATGGAATAAACACACAATTTAAATCAATCAAACAACGAAACCCAGCAATTGCGAATCGCAGAGGAAAAATTTCGCCGAGAAAAGGCGAATTCAAACGTAAATCGAAAGGGGGAAGGAAGAACTAACACGTGTGAAGGCACTCGGAAATAGTGGTGGCGTCGCGGAGGAGCTTATCGCAGAGAGGACAAGTCATGCATGCCACCACCGTCTCCCTCTTCACCTTAGCCACCATGTCTCCTTCCATTGCTCTCGCACGACTCGTTCACACACTTTTTCTCTATCTAGACGAAGATTCCTCGCTTAATCGCACGTACTATCCCCAAAACTGCATGTAGATGAAAACCGACGACCCAGAAAAAAAAGAATCCCACAGATTTACGTTCACCTCACTCTCTTCAGCGATACCTACATTCAAATCCGACTCCGATGGAAACTCCACACTGAATTTAACGGAAAAGGGTCGAGAACAAGGGGAGTAGGAAAAAAAAGTCTGAATCGGAGGAAATAGTGTGATGAAGAAGTCGGAGAAACAAGCTGGTTGGTGATTAAGAGGAGGGAAAATTGAGGGATTGTTAATGGTGAGAGAGATTCGGAGAGAGAATAGGGTGAGGAGACTGGAGACGATCTGAAATCGGAGAAGAAGAAGAAGAAGAAGAAGGGTGAAGCTTAAAGGCTCTCTCTAATAAACGGGTCTTGTGGAGAAGCGAAACAATCCCGTAGAGTAAAAAGACGTTTCCTCCTCTTTTTATTTTTTTCGCTTTTTTCTTTTTTATTTTTCCAATTTTATCTGTCTTCTTTAATGGGCTTCTCCGATTAGGTACATTGCCTGATGTGTTTAGGGTTACACAGTCCAGCAGCGATTTTTTTTTTTTTTTTTTTTTTTTCATAATAAGGTTGTGCGATTAAACAAGTTTAAAACTTCGATTATCAGAGGGAAAAAAAGTGAATCAATTGATTAACAAAATTAAAGAAGTTTAGATAAAATATAGAGGAGTCACCAAATAAGTTGACAGAGTATTTGGCTCTCAATGATTGGATACACAATAATAGAAAAACTACAAAAAATGATTACTACAAAATATCAATAAAAATATTGTGGTAAATCATTGATAAATCTGGAAAGAAAATGACTGGAAAAAAACACTAATATTAATATGCATCTAGAATTTGTAATTTGGAAGGATTTTTTTTTTCTTGTTCAAAAGCTTTGTACTATATAAAAAGTCTTTTTGATACAGTATTTTACAATTTAGAAAATAGATACTGAAATCATATTCGGTACTAGGTGATATAATAACACACAATATTTTATAACTCGATCAATTTTAATTAAGAGTTAAATTTTTTTCTGTTAACGTTGATTTCTTGTTTATTACAAATTGTAGGAAATTGATCGCTACACATATAAACTTACAGCTATTTTCTCTATTTATACAATTTTTTTTGTTTAATTGCATTTGTTATTCCTAAAACTTTAAGTATGATTTTCATATCTGAAATTTGTTGTATAACAAATATGAAGTTTTTTTTAGTAGAGAAAGGAAATAAATACACTAACTTTATTCAATGATACTTATGGTGAATTTTTTTTATCCAATAAAATTGCATTATCTACTACATACTTATTTGAAATTAGTAAGTAATAGACGTTTTTTGTACTATTATGAGTTTCACATGAGTATTTTAAACCTCATTACTCTATTTTTTTTATGATTTATCAGAAATCTGTTTTATCCATTTTCAGTTATTAGATAAAATTCAGATATTTATTTGAGATCTCTTCTACAATATGAGAAACAAGTTGTAAACGCTATTTTCTTGTACTAATATGAGTCTCACATGACTATTTTCAATCTCCTTACTTTATTTTCTTTATGTGATTCATCAAAAATCTGTTTTACCCATTTTGACTATTAAATCAGTTTCAGATATTTATTTTAGATCTCTTCTATAGAATGAGAAACAAATAATAGACAATCACTTCTACTGAATGAGAAACAAGTAATAGACGCTTCTTTTTATACTACTATAAATCTTAATATGGTAAAATTACGATATCAAATAAGATAAAATATAAAATTTTATAATTACACAATTTTAATTAAAAGACTAAATATTTGTAATCTTCGCAAATTAAGTTTGAGAAAAATCTTACTAAAATTCAAGTGATTATCTGTGTAAGTTATTTTAAAATTATATTTATATCATTCGATACAAACTATACGTTACAAATTTAAGATAAAACAAAAAGATCATGCCTTTTTTTGCATGTCTTTTAATATTATTACATTTAAATTTATCTTTAAGTTTATCAATACTAAATTTTGTCTTTTTTAAATCTACTATCTTAAATTTAAGTTATGGTGATACTTATGGCGAAATACACTAACTTTTTTCACTGATACTTATGGTGAATTTTTTTTTATCCAATAAAATTGTATTATCTACTACATACTTATTTGGTATTAGTAAGTAATATACGCTTTTTGTACTATTATGAGTCTCACATGACTATTCCAAATCTCATTACTCTATTTTTTATGATTTATTAGAAATCTGTTTTATCCATTTTCAGTTATTAGATAGAATTCAGATATTTATTTGGGATCTCTTCTACAATATGAGAAACAAGTTGTAGACGCTTTTTCTTGTACTATTATGAGTCTCACATTACTATTTTAAGTCTCGTTACTTCATTTTCTTTCTGTGATTAATCAAAAGTCTGTTTTATCCATTTTGACTACTAAATCAGTTTCAGATCTTTATTTTAGATCTCTTCTACATAATGAGAAACAAATAATAGACGATCACTTCTACTGAATGAGAAACAAGCAATAGACGCTTCTTTTTATACTACTATGAACCACAATATGGTAAAATTACGATACCAGATAAGATAAAATGTAAAATTTTATAATTACACAATTTTAATTAAAAGACCAAATATTTGTAATCATCACAAATTAAGTTTGAAAAAAATATTACTAAAATTCAAGTGATTATCTGTGTAAGTTATTTTAAAATTACATTTATATCATTCGATACAAACTATACGTTACAAATTTAAGATAAAACAAAAAGATCATGCACTTTTTGCGTGTCTTTTAATATTATTACATTTAAATTTGTCTTTAAGTTTATCACTACTAAATTTTGTCTTTTTTAAATCTACTATTTCATAAATTTAAGTTATAGTGATACTTATGGTGAAATACACTAACTTTATTCACTCATACTTATGGTGATTTATTTTTTTTATCCACAAAATTGCATTATCTACTACATACTTATTTGGTATTAGTAAGTAATAGACGCTTTTTTGTATTATTATGAGTCTCACATGACTATTTCAAACCTCGTTACTCTATTTTTTTTTTATGATTTATCAGAAGTCTGTTTTATCCATTTTCAGTTATTATATAAAATTCAGATATTTATTTGGGATCTCTTCTACAATATGAGAAACAAGTTGTTAACGCTTTTTCTTATACTATTATGAGTCCCACATGACTATTCAAGTCTTGTTACTTCATTTTCTTTCTGTGATTAATCAAAAGTCTGTTTTACCCATTTTGACTACTAAATCAGTTTCAGATCTTTATTTTAGATCTCTTCTACATAATGAGAAACAAATAATAGACGATCACTTCTACTGAATGAGAAACAAGCAATAGACGCTTCTTTTTATACTACTATGAACCTCAATATGGTAAAATTACGATACCAGATAAGATAAAATGTAAAATTTTATAATTACATAATTTTAATTAAAAGACCAAATATTTGCAATCATCGTAAATTAAGTTTGAAAAAAATATTACTAAAATTCAAGTGATTATCTGTGTAAGTTATTTTAAAATTACATTTATATCATTAGATACAAACTATACGTTACAAATTTAAGATAAAACAAAAAGATCATGCACTTTTTGCGTGTCTTTTAATATTATTACATTTAAATTTGTCTTTAAGTTTATCACTACTAAATTTTGACTTTTTAAAATTTAATTTCATAAATTTAAGTTATAGTGATACTTATGGTGAAATACACTAACTTTATTCACTCATACTTATGGTGATTTATTTTTTTTATCCAACAAAATTGCATTATCTACTACATACTTATTTGGTATTAGTAAGTAATAGATGCTTTTTTGTATTATTATGAGTCTCACATGACTATTTCAAACCCCGTTACTCTATTTTTTTTTTTTATGATTTATCAGAAGTCTGTTTTATCCATTTTCAGTTATTATATAAAATTCAGATATTTATTTGGGATCTCTTCTACAATATGAGAAACAAGTTGTTAACGCTTTTTTTTATACTATTATGAGTCCCACATAACTATTCAAGTCTTGTTACTTCATTTTCTTTGTGTGATTTATCAAAAGTCTGTTTTACCCATTTTGACTATTAGATCAGTTTCAGATTTTTATTTTAGATCTCTTCTACAGAATGAGAAACAAATAATAGATGATCACTTCTACTGAATGAGAAACAAGCAATAGATGCTTTTTTTATACTACTATGAACCTCAATATGGTAAAATTACGATATCTGATAAGATAAAATATAAAATTTTATAATTAATTTTATAATTACACAATTTTAATTAAAAGACCAAATATTTGTAATCATCGCAAATTAAGTTTGAGAAAAATATTACTAAAATTCAAGTGATTATCCGTGTAAGTTATTTTAAAATTATATTTAAATCATTCGATACAGGCTATACGTTACAAATTTAAGATAAAACAAAAAGATCATGCACTTTTTGCGTGTCTTTTAATATTATCACATTTAAATTTGTCTTTAAGTCTATCAATACTAAATTTTGTCTTTTTTAAATCTACTTTCATAAATTAAAGTAATAGTGATACTTATGGTGAAATACACTAACTTTATTTACTGATACTTATGGTGATTTGTTTTTTTTATCCAACAAAATTGCATTATCTACTACATACTTATTTGGTATTAGTAAGTAATAGACGCTTTTTTGTATTATTATGAGTCTCACATTACTATTTCAAACCTCGTTACTGTATTTTTTTTTATGATTGATCAGAAGTCTGTTTTATCCATTTTCAGTTATTAGATATAATTCAGATATTTGTTTGGGATCTCTTCTATAATATGAGAAACAAGTTGTTAACGCTTTTTCTTATACTATTATGAGTTCCACATGACTATTCAAGTCTCGTTACTTCATTTCTTTGTGTGATTCATCAAAAGTCTGTT